AAATCTAACATAAGTGAAACCAAATATCGGCCAAATGATCGCCACGACCACGGCAATGCCTTTAATGTGTTCAATTATCTCATTCTTTAGCTCTTCAATTGTTCTTGGCATATTGACGTACAATTTTTCTTTTCAATATCCCCAAAGGATCAAGTCCAACGGTGTCAGATCATAAAGGCGAATTTAGACTTTACACTTTGGATGTGCAYCGCAGATAATTCATCCACAGTGAATGTGAAAGAGGAAAGCCCCAGCATTTACACCTTTCAATGGTTTAATCCATTTCGTTAATTCTCAAAATGGAGATAACTGAAATAGTGAGTCTCGGAATTGAGTTATTAATTGTAGCCCTTTAAGAAGAATGTCGTAAAATATTAGAAGGTTATTAGGTAATTATAAGGGTCTCTCACTTTTCGACTCCCTTTGACTATTAATGGAGAGAACGGGATAAAGGTGCTATCATATTCTAGCTTGACACGTTCGCCACACCTTTTGTTTGAAACGTTTTTCCTAGAAATGTCTTGTTCGGTCACAATTACGAGTTTTTGGGCGATTTTTGCTCATTTTATTTTCGCTCTAGCGTGCCTCACGATAACTGAAAAAATTTAAAAAAATTGTCAAATTGTAGCTTTTGCCTCTCTTCACAATTGTTATTTGAAACTTTTTACGAAAAAATGCCACCGTCGGCCAGAATTGTCATTTTTACTGAAATTGTATAAATTTACGATTTTAACCATTTTCATCAGCCAATTTGGACTTACGATAATGAATGAAAAAAACTTTAATACTACTCAAATTGTTGTGTGGCCTATTTAGAACACTTTTTATTTGAAACTTTTTTTTTTTAAATGCCGCTGTCGGCCAGAAATAAATTTTTTTGGGAAACTGTACAAATTTAAGATTCTAACCAGTTTCATCAGCCCATTTGGGCTAACAAGAATAAATGAAAATTTTCCAGTACTAGTCATATTGTGGTGTTTCCTATTTCGAACACTTTTTATTTGAAACTTTTTTTTGAAGAATGCCGCTCTCGGCTAGAATTGCAATTTTTTGGGTCGCTGCTTAAATTTATGATTCTAACAAATTTTATCGGCTCATTATCATATTCTAGCTTGTCCCATTCCCCACACCTTTTGTTTGACACGTTTTTCCGAGAAATGTCTTGTTCGGTCACAATTACGAGTTTTTGGGCGATTTTTGGACATTTTATTTTCGTTCTGGCGTGCCTCACGATCTGAAAAAAATAAAAAAAATAGTCAAATTGTAGCTTTTGCCTGTCTTCACACTTTTTATTTGAAACTTTTGTTGAAAAAATACTGCTGTCGACCACAATTGCCTTTTTTACTGAAATTGTATAAATTTACGATTTTAACCATTTTCATCAGCCAATTTGGACTTACAATAATGAATGAAAAAAACTTT